CCTAAACCGCCAAGCTGGAAGAACAGTAGGATTCCAAAGTTCACACACAGGGCAACAACTGAAATGGTCAAAATCACCCCTGAAAATCTCTCCTGTCATCTGATAATACCATAGTCAGGTTTTGTGAATTAAAATCCATAGAGAAATATCTCTGTAAAAGTGCAATATACATATTAAGATAAAATGCACATTAACACATATATAAAATTTGATTTTAGAGTATTTTCATTGCATAGAAGGAGCTAGAGAGTCAGAGAGGAAAACATACAGTGCACACATGATGTGACTTCACTATGAGAAAGCTCTCATCCAAGTTTAGTTTCCTTTAAGATGCTTCAGGAATAGTTATTTGAAGAATTTTGCATCTTGTTTTGGAACCATGCTTAAAAATAATCCTATTTCTATTTTTACTCATTATTTTAATTTTATTAAAAGTTGGAGGGAGGGTAAATAAGCGCTTCCACCTCAGCACCCACCCCCTACACTGCTCCTGTCCTCGGGATGTCAGAGGGCAGCAGAGATGTGGCTTTACCAGTAGGGGTCGCTGTGCTGAGAATTAATCCCTATGAGTTTCTCATTAGTGATTATTATACTGCAGGCAGCCAAAATGGAAAAATTAATTAATTTCAAAGTGATAATGCATTTACAGCAACAATTAGAAATGTATAACTGTAAAAGGGCAACATTTAAAAGACAGATTACATTTAATAAAGTTGCACAAGAACATCCAATTGTAAAATTACTGATCTGCAACAATATTCCTTAAAGAGGCACTTAAAATAGCCTGACTCCATGAAGGGTGACCTAATTACTGTAACTAAAATCACCACAGTCACAGCAAGTCAAAGCAAATAAAAAAGGGATGCTGATATTAGAATACTGCTGTTTAATGGTTGCGGAAGCGGCTATCGTGGATAGGCAAAGCCAGGGCTCCAGCCCAAGGCTAGGTTGTATTTCTTCTCTCCTCGATCTCACACAATGGAGTGTGTACTCCAGCAAGTTTGGTGTAGAGAGAAAAGACTTTTTTCTAGGTGACGTGCAGAAGATGCCAGAAAGCACAACACCCAGCGCCAGACGCCTGGCAAAGGGGAGATTACATCCCTGCCATGCAGCTTCCTCTGTGTTCAGGAGTCCAGCCCTCAGGTGGGGAGGGCATGGGCTGCACCTGTAAGGTCTATGTCTAAGAATCTGTTGCCATTAAAATGGCAGAGGTGCATCCATCGCCCAAGGAGCAAATACCTTATTGTGACCGAAAGAAGGCCAAGCCACACACACTGGAGAGCACGTGCAGGTGACTCGGAATCAGTCTAGTTTTTCCTGCCAATGAAACTGACCAACCCCAAGTCTACATTCAAGCCGATGCCACTCTGGAAGTCACCAAGTCCTAGATGTCTATGAAGGAGAAGGGGCTTGCTCAGAGTTTGAGAAATAAGTCCAAGCCCCACCTCCTCCCACTTCTTTATAAACTGGAACTTCAAAGGCTCAAAAATACCTCTAAGCACCTAAAAATATAAATGTATCATTAAGGGAGGATTTTAATGAGAATCTAATCTTGGCTCCACATCCTGCAACTTTCTAATCTTTATGCTTATTTAAGGCACTCCACTTGTGGAATATTAAAGATGCTGTTCTACCAATTACTCATGGAATGTCCACAACACTATATTCCTGGGAGACCAGATGTGCAGGTTGGAGAACAACCAACCAAGCTCCCTCCATGCACATGCCTTTCCTGGCTCATGAGTAACTCCTTCCCTCCCTCCATCCCAAAGGCCCAGGAACAGAGCCCTCCAGCTCCCTCTATGCCTGGTCCTTGGCCTCTTGACTCTTGTCCTGTTATCAGCAATTGCACTTTGGAGGAGAATATTCTAGACCAAGACACTGCTCACAGAAACTAATTACAGCCAACACAGTGAGAAGTATCACTTGCAACAGGCACTGTGCCAGGCACATCATTGATCTCTGCTCTCAATAGGGAAGCCACTGGGCCCTCATGACCACTTACATTAACTAAAGTGCAGTCAGATTAAAAATTCAGTTATATTAGCCTCGATAGCCATATATGGCCAGTGGCTATCATGTTTGCTAGTCAGATTACAGTCTCTACAGAAATTCTACGTCCACTCTTACAGATGTTATGTCCATCATGGCCGATGGTCACAATGGCATGCATCACCCTTTTGTTTATGAGGAGGCAGGCTTGAACCTGAAGTGACTGTCCAGGCTGTCCCCATATCCAGAGGCAAGAACCAGGTCTTGACTTTAGGGTCACTAACAGGAGAGCTGTCCAGGGGAACACTTCCTTCTCTTGCCACCACTGGGAGGCCACGTCAAACCCCTTTCTGGGTACAGGGCGCTGCTTACCGCTGTCTTTCTAGGTACACCGCTCCCCTGGCAACTGACACAGAATGTGGGTTTTCACGAGGTCACAACTCTCCTCTAGCTCTTCCCAAGGGCTAGTTATCTGTGCACGTCCAACAGAGTTCTCACCCAGGGTCTTGCGGCTACTCCATTTACCTGTTACCCAGGATGTTCTATGGGGTCTTCCTCTCAGGCCCCAGCCTTGCCTTGCTCTGGTCACTGAAACCTGCTCACAAGTAGTCTCTGTGCTTCTGTGACTGGGGTCCAGATGGATCAGGGTAGCGGGCAGAAGAGGCCACTGCACACTGGCCAGGGAGGTGGAGGACAGCCACAGAGGCCAGGCACCAGGGAGTGGCGCTCACGGAACACCCCCACTCAGTGCTCTTCCTGGCCCACGTGGCAAGGCTCCCGCCTCAGTTTAACTCCACACTGGTTTCTCACTTGGCTTACATCCTGACCACACTGACCACAAACCCAAACACTCACCATGCCATGTGGATGCCTGCTCCAGGTGACTTGCTAGCACGTCACAGAACCCTTCCTGGCAGATCCAAGAAGCCAACGATCACCCCCAACTTTGCTAGGCACAGTTCACATTCGATATTATGTAATAACCAACCCACCCCCAGAAACACAGATACCGACCAGCATGACTGCACGAGAACTTGTCTTTTCCCCCTGCCCCTTTCCAGGGCCCTGAACCCTGGGATCAGGTCACAGAATAACAGTTTCTGCCTTTTCTGTTGACCACTCCCCACACTCTGGAATTCACACCAAGTGAGCTAGTTGTATTACCCCCCATCGATTCCATACACAGAGCCCCCCCTCCATGTCTTTCCTGTCACATCCTCTGATTAGGAACATTCTGGAAGAGGCTACAAAACCAAAACTGTTTGTTGTCATAGAAGTAAGCTCCTGAGCGCCCACCAAGGAACACATCCAGTGAGAAGACTCAAGACGCAAGGATTACCAATGACGATCGAGGACTGGCCGTGGGCACCTGTTGGTCTTGAAGCCACAGGACAACAGAAAATCAGGAGCGTGTCTCTCCTCTCTCACCCAAACTCTAACAATCCATCCGCAGCTGTGAGGGGCACTGACACCCACTGGAGATCCACATTCCTAACAGCAAAAGACCTCACTGTGGTCAAGGAAAGCCTTGGGGGGAGAGAGCCCTACAGGCTCATGGAGAGGAAACTGGTGGGGGAAGGTCTCAGCCCTGCGACCCACGTGGGAACGGTTTCATGCATTTACTTTCCAGATACAATCCCCACACTCACCCACCCCCTGACCAGGAAAACTACTCGCCTCGTCCCCTCTGCATGTTAAGTATTCACACTTGAACTGCATTTGTCTTACTTGAGACCCATTTGGGGACTGGGTGTGCCTCACTAGTGGAGCCCTGGCCTGGCATCTCTTACTTCCCGTCTCCTAAATAATTCCTGAGATTCAGGTAGTTCTTAAAGTCATCCACAAACATGAAGGGCAAGGACGGCAGGTGTGAGCGACCTCAGAAAGAGGCAGACCACACTCAGAGGCTGAGATAAACTGGAAGATGATGGTCTGACACACTTCCAAAGGCCAAAACATGTTTGGAGAACAGGGAATTTCTGTGGTGTAGATGTTATGTTTGGGTAATGGAAACACTAGCATTTATTAATAGGAAAATATTGTTAAATGTCTGGAGATTAGAAAGTAGTCTTCCAAATACATCGTGTAAAGTATATATTCATTCGAATTATTTCCCTTTAAAATGTGTTCATGGAAGAAGTTTCTAGACACAATTGATAAACAACCATCAAAAATATAAAAGCTTCACATTTCCTTTTGTGAACACTTCCACATCTTATCAAGGTGATGTGATTTATCCAAGAAGATTCACGTGTGGGGATGTAAAGACTAGAGTACACTCCAGCCATGAAGCCTCTCCAGGAGAGGGTACACAGACTTCTCCATTCAAAGAAGAATTTAGAACATCTGATAATAGCTTCTCAGTGAACACAAAGGGATCACACTGCTACCAATCCAATAGTCACAAACCTGTGTGTGTGCGCACGTGTGTGTGTGTGTGTGTGTGTGTATGAAAGAGAGACAAACACACACACTGGGGGTCGAGCCCAGGGTCTCATGTATGCTAGACAAAGCACCACACACTGAGCTACATCTCCAGCCCTTTTGCATTTTCCCATTTTGAGACAGGGTCTCACTAAGTTGCCCAGCCTGGCCTTGAACCTGGGATCCTCCTCCACAGCCTCTCTAGTAGCTGGGAATATAGGCCTGAACCACTACACAGCACAAATCCTCATTTTTCACCTTCTAACATGAAACACAGTTCTCAAGTGCAATGCCCAACACAATAGGTGTTCGAAGTTTTTTGAGTCAAAACAGAAATCACATCCAAACAAAATAAACCATCAAGACCTTCAGCACAACATTGAGAAACCACCTCTTCTCTCCATCCTGCCACAGAGAGGCTGCCTGTGCTGGGCCCATGCTGGCAGCTCAGGCATGACATGACCCAGGTAAAGACCAGACTTTCTCCTGGGGACAAATGGCGAGGAGGGGAGGATACGCACAGCTGGACATCTCCAGGGAAGGCACGCTGGAGGTGCTGGTGGTGCCAGAAACCGTGGACTTACCATGGACTTGGTGAACGGCCTCGCCAAGGTGAACAGCAGTGTGTATACCCACCAGTGGCGGTGGATGGAGGAGTACATCATGTTCCCAGGGTGCACCGCGTTGGACGTGACCCCACGCGGGGAGAGGCGCCGGTGCAGCTCGTTGGAGAAAAGGATGTTGCACAGTTTGGATCTGTTGTAGGCCAGCATGGCCCAGTACTCGCCCTGTGATGGGGACAGGCGGCTGAAGTCAAGCTTCCCAGAGGAATTGTTGATGTCCGTAAATCTGAAAAAAGAGGAGATAGGACACAAAGCAACCAAGCTGTAGCTTTTTGTCTAGTTGCATCTTTTTATTTAGAAATCTAAGGAGATGCTGCATGGACTATTGCAAACTCAGTCCTGCGTACATCAAATCATGTCCCTTCAAAACAGAGATCTGTACATCACAAGCAAGTCACCCTCTTCCAAAGACACCTAGATCAGCCTGTGCTTGTAACAGCAGTCAACCCGCCCAGCTCCCCACAACCCTTCCCAGGTATTTTTCAAATTAAATGAGGAAGCATCTTAAATCAAGGGCTGCTGCTTTTGGAAAGAAAGGCACCACTCGCCTAATTTTTGTTGGGCTGTCCTGAATTATTTCAGCCAAAGCTGGAGTCCTGTATGTATTTTTTTATTGAGCATCCGAGAAAATACAGACAAGGCGTGCTGCCGCCAAGACTCTCTTCCAGATTAAAAATTAATGATTATAAAGGGGCTGTAACCTTGGTAAGGTGCCATCGATAGTCTTCTACGTTTAAAAGATAAATGTAAACAAAGCCAAAACGAGTTCTGGCAGAGCGTGATGTTTTTAAGTATACCCATGGCATGGATGTGCACAAATCAAAGTAACTAGTTGATGTTTTATAATTGGGTCTGACGGAGTCGTTAAACACCAGCTGCTGGGTTCCATTCCTTTCTTCCTTTAAGAAAAAAAAAATAACAAAGTAGTAACAGCTTTAAAAAAAATTGGATCATAACAAAAGGAATTTCTAGATGTTCTCATCTTTGTTTAAGGACAACTCATATTTTGCTCCATTAAATTAACTCTGGGCCCTGGGTAATAAGGAAGTACGAGGATACCGCAGGAAACAGCAGAATGAAAAATACAGACTCATCCTGTCGTTCAGGTTGGGCACAAAAACACAAAAGAGCCACACGGGCAGGTGAGACTTGCATTCTAAGGGAAAGTGACTGTCCTTTCTCTGGGGCTCCACCAGTGACATCCAATTTCTGGTGCTAAAAGGTATTGCTGCTCTAAAGTCATCAACAAATCCAAGGACCAGGAATGCCATCAAGGATTCGGCAAGGCGACCTTGAAACTAATTGCTGGCTGCCTGTTTCCGAGTCCCCAAACTACAGGAAGAGCCCAGGCTTCTGAGCTTAATTGTCTAAGGCGGGGGAACTTAGCGGGAAATTTGAAAATTTATGGGGGTCTTTTTCTGGTGGAAATAACGATTGCCGGCAGGGACCAGGGATGGTGGATGTCCCACAATGCAGGTGGATTCTTGCTCAATAAACACTGCCCCCCTGGACTTCCAAGCAGATGAAAAGCCTGCGTCTAATTACCTGAGCCAGAGCCCAACTGTGCTTTACGCTTACAGTTTTACCATCCACTGAGTTTCCAGGATCGCCGTGCGAGAACCACATAAATGAGGAGGAATGGATGTGATTTCAGATTCTGGGGGTTTTTTGGAGCATGCAGCTTGAGTCAGCATTGGGTGCTGTCTCTTGCTAGGCCATACACCTGTCGACAGTCTGCCTATGACTGTTCCACTGGAGGTGACACATGCATCGACACACACATCTGATTGTCATGTTGTTGCAGAGGAGATACTTTATTTCTGAACTTTACTTCAATGCAGTCATAAGGTGTTACAGAAGAGCTGTCAGAAAACGGGCTATGAGCCAAGAACTGCAAAGATCCAAGTTAAGGGACAGGACTAGGAGACCCGACTTCCTCAAGGCAGAAAAGGACATTACAGAGGTAGAGCAGATCTAAACACCTTGGGAGAAACACAACACCCTTTGCTCCCACCTCCCAGGCTTCTTTTGCTAACTGCTCCTGGAAGCCCCCTTTCTGGTCTCTGCATTTAGCTGAACCAAGCTCGGGAGCCTCTTCCTCCAAGAAGCTTTCCCTAACACTTCTGCAGAAGTCGATATGATTTCTTGGTGTCGTGTTTGCAGGAGGGGTGTGGATTGAAAGAAGCCCCAGAAACAAGCTGAAATGCATGTTTCCATGGAAATTAAACATCTGCTTTCCAGGATATCAATCCCAGTGTTCGTTGACACTGCTGCCCCTCAAGGTCAATGACGAAACCATCTGTGACTCCTTCAAGTTTTGCCTGTGTGCTGTGTCACCACCCCTGGCTGCAAGCCACGTTCACCTGGTTCTGACACTGGACTGTACCTCCTGTATGCTACTGGGGCAGTGTCTGGGCCACTGCAGGGCTGAACATGGGGTTAAAGAACTGAAGTTTGATCATGGGTTTGAAATTCCAAACCAAGGGGCAAATTTCCCTTGTTGCAAAAAGTCTTGGTTTGAGCCTTGCTCAAAGGGCAAAATGTACCACAAGGCGTAAACCCTCTGAGCTCTGTGTTAATATCTCTGTGCTGCCCTTTCTGATGTCAGGAAAGAGTTCCCTGCTTTGGCTTCAAGGCTGACACCTAAGTAGCTCATGAGTAAGGAACACAGGCAGATTATACCTCTGAGAGGGCAGGGTTCCTTCCTAGAACCCAATCTAAGAACAAGGCCGAAACACTGCATGGTAAGAAATTACATGGAACCAGGTTAGAGGGCACTTATCAAGGTGGAGAAGTGCCGGCTGCTGGGTCCCGGGTCTCCCCCTGGAAACAACACCTGCAGCATGAGAACCCTGATGTCCTCCTGCCATCTCTTGGGCAGAAAGCCCATCTGGAACTTCCCAAGGGTTGCATGGACCATCTTCCAGGAAGCACATAGGGTGGACCTGATCCCCCTGAGCCAAGGCAGGCTTCCTAAAATATGGCCACGTCCACCCCTCAGCTACAGAGGCAATAAAACAGCTCTTCAAAGGCTGTCAGCTCTATTTGCAAGTTGAAAAACTGACAAAGCCAAACAAAAAGGTCTTAATAGAATTCTCTCTTGCGGACACACTAAAATACTATACAGTTTGCCTCCGGACATTAACTTTTGATTTTTAAGGGCACCCCATCTTGTACTTATGTACTGTCTCATTATTTTTGTTGTTGTTGTTAAAATGAAGATTTTTTAAATTCCCCAGTTTAAGTAATAAGGATTGATTCCACGTAGACAAGAGTTAGCATGTTTAAAGAGCAGAACTAAATTTGCATTAGCAATTTTGTGTATTGACGTGATTGTGTGTGCATGATATTGTGTGTGCGTGTATGGTTGTGTATGGTTGTGTATGTGTTTTATTGCGTGATTATGAGTAGCTGTATTTGTAATTGTGTAGAATGTGTATGTGAGTGCATGTACCTGTGGTTGTTATTGTGTGATTGTGTGAATATATGTATGAATGCATGTACCTTTGTGTGTTATTATGTAATTGTATGTGGTCATATGTGTTATTGTGTAAATGTGTATGATTACATGTATCTGTAGTTTTGTTATGTGATTGTGTATGGCTTGGTTATTATGGAATATGTGTATGATTGTATATACCTGTGGCTGGCTGTGTGTGATTGAGTGTATGAATGTATGTGTTACTATATGAATGTGTATGATTACATTACCTGTGGTTGTGTGTGTTATATGATTGTGTATAGCTTGGTTGTTATGGAACATGTGTATGATTGTGTGTACCTGTGTCTGGGTGTGTGGATATGTGTGTTACTGTGTGAATGTGTATGATTGCATGTACCTGTGGTTGTGTTACTGTGTGAATGTGCAGGTGGTTGCGTGTACATGTGGTTGTGTGTGGGGTTCTATAATTGTGTGTATCAGTTGGACACTCAACACAGTTCGAGCCATTAGAAGTGTCCAGCCGGCCCTCTGCTACTTTCCCTCTATTTTAATTGTTATCTGAAAAATTTTCCCAGAAGGAAACCAAGCTCTCATTTCCATATGATACATTTCAGGTAGGCAGAAACTCAATTCACTTCCTCAGACTCCAGATAAGTAAGTAAAGCACAGTGAAGACACAGGGAGGCTCATAAATATTTTGCCTTGGGGCAGTCTAGTATAACATTTTCTGCAAACACAGGACTTTATTTTTCCCCTAACAGGGGGTCTTGACTCCAGTGAAGAGATTGTGCCAAGGTTTATGGAGGTAATTAGATATCAACACTTGCATTTTACTGCATGGTTTAGGGCTCTGGGTTCTTGAGCAGGGAGTGAGGGCCCCACGTACTGCCGAGTTCCCGCCAGGCGCTGGCTCTCCAGGCCAACAGACACCTCACGAGCTGTGAGCTGGTGGCTTGAGGGGCCGTCACAGTGTAGGACCACAAAACCTGGGAGGGGCAACAGGGAAACAGAAACCAGAAGCAGTCGCCAGAGAGGAGGGCCCAACCACAGGCTGCCAGAGGCCCTGACTGTAAACTAAACTGGATCTAATTCAGAAGGCCAAGCCTTTTCCTTCCCAATGACTCTCTTAAATGGAATTAAGACCTGATCTCCAAGGCATGCTGCAGTCAAGGAGAGAACAAAGGCAGCCCGAGTATTAAGGGCAACCAGCAGCACCCACTGGACACTGTCTCCTACTAAGTACCAGCTCACTTAAACACGTCCCGAGGTGCCTGCCGTGTCTGGCCAGCATGGGGGCTGGCACATCCACTGGAGCCCTCTCTGCTGCCCAACAGGCCACTCTGTTCCCTTCCTCCAACCTGCTGTGATTTGCAAAGATAAGGCGTCCAGATTTCATTCCTGCCTAATTACTAGATGCTCTGTGTCTTCTCACATGGGGGAGGATTACCACCGGACACCCTCCTTTCATTTCAGCCATCATAAATTCAAAATGGTAAAGGCAAATCTATCTGCAGCATGTCACTTATACCATAAGCCCCTGTGTTCGGGAGTGATAAAGGGTTCAAGCTAACCCTTGGCTGGTCTCTCTCCCCCAAGTCCCAGGGGTTACATTTTATGGAAGTATGATTAAAAAAATAAGCTTCATTCTGGGTCACTAAAACATTTCAGGCAGGACTTAAGACGGAGGAGAAGAGGGAAAAATAGGCCCTCACACAATTTTTTTTTCCAGCTACTCTGCTAAGAGCAGACGCTTCCTCCCACCCCCACACCAAGGAAACTGGAAAGAGAAATCTCCCAAACAAGTACTAAATCTAGCCTCACCCAACCCGCCAGTCCTTTGTCTTTTCTGAGCACTTTTCTCTTTAGACAAATAGTTGTTTATCCAACTCCAGAATCGAATATGCTGAAAATACGATGAAATTTTCAAATGTCTTTTTAGTCAATTGAATATTCTCCTAATGGTAATAGAAAAGAAGGACCATCTGATGTTTTAATTGAAATTTTAACCAAAAGAGGCATGGCCAGATTTCTAATATGTTCTAACTACAGTACTTCCCTTTCCACAATTACACAGCTAATGTCTGCATTGAATTCCCTAATTTCTCATTATAAAACAATTGGATTTCATCTCGCAGTCTTTAATTGCATTGTTTCTCCTGCTAGAATAACTGCACATTCTTCTTCCTAAGACGTTGAAGTTGTTGAATTACAAATCGATAAAGGTCACGCCATTCAGATTTAATCAATTATTATTCCATCTCTAAGCAAGATCAGCGCAGAGCTTGAAGTATAGTTGTAAAAACACCCTGCATTGCTATAGACAGCCTCCCCCAAACGGTCCCCGCCATCCCACACGCAGGGCCCTAGAGAAAGCAGGGCAGCCAGGCTGCGGGCTCTCCCACTCCTCGGAACACCGCGAAAAATGATCCTTAGAAACAGGGTCCTGGGGGAATTCTAGGAGGGTGTGGGGCAGGGGGGCAAGCGAAAAACATGGAATTCAAACCCACCGATGGGACTCGGAGGAGACCACGACCACGCGGGCAGGGGCCGAGCGGCAGAGAACATCCTGCAGGAGCTGCACCAGGTAGAAATGCCCCAGGTGGTTCACCTGGAAGGTGGTCTCCAGGCCATCCTTTGTGAGGCTCCAGGGCAGAGCAAAAGCCGCAGCGTTGCACACGAGCACGTGAAGGGACCTGGAAAATAGAGCATTCGACAATCTGTAGACGTCAACCAAAGGCCACCCACGTTCCCCAGGGATAGCCGATTCGTCACTGCCTTCAAGATCCCATCAGCGAGAGACAAGATGCCCTACAGGGTCGCATGGCTCCGAGTGGGCAACCGTCCTGGGACACTGGGGAGGACAGGCCCCTGGGATGTAGGACTTTCAGTGTTAAATCCAGACAGTGCTTGGCAAGTTAGGACAAGCTGGTCATCCTGGTTGGAATCCAGGTTCCACCACCTAATTAACTCTGCCCTTCCAAATTCATCCAGTTTGCACATTCCTCAGCTCCTCATCTTAAATCAAAATAGTGCTTCAAACACAGAAAACATCCTATAAAAAAAAAAAAAATGCTGACACAGGACCCAGCACTTACGAGGAGCTAAAGAAACACATCAAGAGGAAGAAGCTTTGTCCAAGGAAACAGACACACCTGTGTGGACATATTCCTTTTAGAATGTGCTAGAATAACTGCACATTGGATTATACCTACTGTTAAAAACCAGCCCAATTTATGTTTACATATTAACTTGTTCCACAATACAATTCTTGACAATAAAAGTAATAGTGTTATGCAAATCAAATTCCTAAATCCTCATAAACAAATTGTATTCATGAGAAATCATCCAAACATCCAAACAAGAATTGAGAATTATACAATAAAATATAGTGAACATAGCTAGGGTGTTTGTAATTGCAACATAAAAGCAACAAATTGGGGGAAAAAAAACTAAACATACAATGGAGAAATCATTAAATAAAACAGAATATAGCCTTATGCTTGAATTATATAGTCATTTGAATTATAACAAACTAATCTATTTTGTTTTATAATCCATCATAAAGTTAAGTCTGTGATGTTGTAGAACCACATACACACCCGCACCCAGAAAGAGGGGATGGTGATGAGGGAGGTGCGGGTGAGGGGAGGTGCAGGTGAGGGGAAGCACCGGAGGCTGGTGGGCCCACTGAATCAGAAAATGCCTTCTCTCTGAGTTTACCTATACTTTATTCTCTCCATAATTAACATGCAGTGTATTTATAGGAAGGAATAAATGCAATCAAATAAGTATTCAGCAAAATAAAAAGAGCATTTCAGGAATTTAGCCAACACATTTAACATGAGAGGGGAAACACCAATAAACATGGTTGGCTTTCACAGGAGCACTGGATTAAGAGCTGGGAACCTGCATTTTTGACTCCTCTGGGACAAGTCTTCCAGGCACTCCGAGCATCTGATTCTTGTAAAATAAGGAGCTGGAAGTCGAGACACTTAGTTTTCCTCACATATCTCTGATTCCAGGGCAATGGCTGTGGGTAAAATTCCTTTTTGATATAGGAAAAAAATCTTTCCTATATTTTCATTTGAAAAAAAAGGTGTTTTTTCATAGAAACATTTCATAGGTTTATTACTATTTAAACAATTTGGTTGTGTTTCTATTTTCATGAAATGCAACCATCCAAGAGTCATAAGTTTTAATGTTAAAAAAAAATGCTCTTCATATAAGAGAAACAGGGAAACAGAAAATATATGTAAAAGTTAAAATAATACATTATCAAAAAAGTAAAACACAAAATGACAAATGACGTGATACTAAGAATCCACATTTTATATAAAGAGTCCTTAGAAATCAACAAGAAAATACAGTGTAAGAGTCTAACAGATATACTGAGATATTTTTAAAATTTGTAAAAGTAGACTACAAATGACCAATACAAAGCTTAACATGTTCTATACTACAACCAATATTTTCTACCAAAAAATCAGCAGATTTATTTATTTATGTTATTATGTTTTTATTATCTTTGTAAAAATTGGTGGGAAAATGTATTCATGCCTCCTGGATTTTAAGTAGAAAATGCATATCATGAGAATTAAAAGGAGTCACATTATTTCATCTGGTGACCCTGCTTCCAACAGGGGAGGACATAGTGGCAGGATGGAGGAAGCAGTATTTTATCATTAATAATGTTTATAATTGCATGTGATGACAATAAAATGTGAATGGCTTTTAGTGAGCTGTGGTGTTTTGAATTCTCTGTCAACACTGCTCCCCATCTTTTATGCCCAAGGGGCAGCCCATTCTCAGAGCTGCCTCCCACACCATGGCATGGCGCAGGGGGTTCTGCAGTGGGAAGAAAGGCCGATTCCACAAGGTATGTCCCCCCCACACCCTGAACATGACCTTATTTGGAAAAAGGTCTTCTCAAATCTAATTTGAATTCCTGGATAGAACCCTGAGTCACAGTACATACTCCATTTTATATATCACTGAATTGACTTTGCTATTATATTGTTGAAGAATTTTTTGTCTCTATTCAAAAGTGATATGGGTCTAGTTTTCCTTTTCCTGTGATGTCTTTGGTTTAATTTGACATCAGGTAAATGTTGGTTCCACAGTCAGCTGGGAAGTATTCCCTTCTCTTCTATCTTTCTATTCCTTAAATACTTGGCAGAAAGCATAATTTTTAAACAAGGAATTTGATAACAGTGATTTTATAAATTGCTGTTACTTTTTAAAAGAATTCACGAAATCTCATTTTCATTGGGGAATCTGGATCGGGTTTAGAAAGTGTTGATTTCATTCTGTGGCTTGATGTAGTTTCCAAGTTGTCACCTGCCTAAAGCTTACATGGGTGAGCTGGGTCTGGATGGTAAAATCTATTTTTCACCTAAGTGGCCACCGCCATTGTTATCATCCCCCCACACACACCCGTAATCCGTGTATTCCCTGAGGAGGTGGGCGCACAGGCTCTGGGGCCTCTGGTTGGGGCCTTCCCACAATACCCATCAAGGCCCTGTTTCAAATCAAAGCAGAGATTCCTGGTTTGCAGCTGTGGGGAGCCATATTTTGTACTAAGGCAGAACCACTAAGGAAAAACTTGGGAAACATAGTAAACTATATTACATTTGAGCTTCTTTTAGACTGCTTCTCAAATATTTGGTTCCATCCTCTAGAGCTATTTATTTTTTCCTTTTACTTTTCTGAATATAAACCATGGGTTGGACACTTGTCAACAGCTTTGTGTTACATACATTTAATCTTCACAATAATAGGAGGTGACATGAATTATTGTTGCCATTTTACAGGCCGGAAAACAAGATAGTAGAAGAGCAACTTTCATGAGCTCAGAAATGAAGCAAGTATCAGAAATAACTAAAACAAGTAAGCAGATAAATGAATAAAACAAAGCAAAAGGAACCAACTGACTTCAAGGCCACCTGATGACCCTGTTTCTTTTAGAAAACCAAACTGAACCTGGGAGGACCATGCCAAAGGTCCTGCTGTTGTTCACACCTGCCTCCTGGCTAGCAGTTGACCTCCCTATCCTGTGAAGGGGACCGCAGAGGACCCCTCCCAAGCTCCTGGAGAGCAGGTCCCTCACCAGCTGCCAGGACCTTTCTCTGAATGACATTTCCTGATGTCCACAAGGGAGAATGAAATTCTTCAACGCTGATTTCCACAGCACTCACCTGTCCTTACGATGTGCCTGGACATTCAGAATTCTGACAGCACAGCTTTTCATGGCCACCTCTCCCCCGGTGGCGGTTATTCTTGCCCTGCACTGTCCCAGGGAAATGGAAACCACAGCTCTCCACCAGGAGGCAGGACCCCTCAGAGGACCTGGGGAACCCTTTCCTCTCTCACCAGGTTTGAACACCCTTCATTAATGTTAATTGCACAACACCAGAGGCAAAATATGTACCCAGTACCTAAAATGTGTCACCTCTATTAATTAAAAATAGGTTGGTGGAATTGGAGACTATAAAGCACTCAACTTTTTTTTTTTAATTGTAAAGGCACCTAATTGGCTTGTACAAAAGGAAAAGATTCCTTTTGCCTCTCTTTAATGAGGTTTTTATAATTCAAATAGCACATTTTGCTCAGTTTTGACTAAAAGCCACGCAATTCAAAAGGGTCTGAGATGATGAATATTTACAGAATATCAAAAGAAAAGTTCAAACTATAAAGACAGAATGGAAACAAAAATAGGACCCCTTCAAGCCCAGAGCCAGGTTATTAGTCAGCACTTTCGGGGGGGGGGGGGGGGGG